TCAAGGCACCCCACACTCTGGATTATTCTGCTTTCCCTTCATCTTCATGCTGATCGCGTTATGGATACTAAAACGGAGTTCATCCGGAACTTCACGGATATCAAAAAATCCGTCAATCGTTCATTATCTACCCGAGCGCAGCAATTAAGGCGCCGTGTATCATCCATTAGATCAAATCCCACGCCAAATCCCACGCCAAATCCCACACCAGATTCCTCTCTTTGTATCTACTGTGACCGGCTCGATCTCCGCCAAGTTTCTCAGACTCTGGCAACTAGCTCATACGATCCGGACGGAATTCTTCTGGGAGAGCTGCAAGACAACCCAGCCGCCAGGAACTGTTCTCTTTGTCAGATTCTCTCCCAGGTTTGTAAAGAGACCTGTTCAGGCTCTCCGCTACAACTACGCGCTTTCTACCTACTGCCTCACCTTTCAGAACAATGGCAGAAAGGAAGAAATACCCGTCGGACCTCTGACATCTTCGTTGCCGCTGTCTCTAGCCAGTTCTCTATGGTTTGTACCCTGGTGGCCCTGGTGTCGTTTATTTACCCCCTGGCAGGCTTCAGGCCTCATTGCTCCTGCGTGCCCCCTAGACCTCACCTGAATTCTCACTCTTTATGGTGATTGCTAACCCAAGCGTGCAATCAGGCCCCGGGTGGCTCAGACAGGGCCATGTTCGACGATATGGTTTCTAAGAGAGGATTCTTGATCTACCATGACGACAAGAACCTCAAAGATTGTATATTGACGCCACGTCCAATGACTGCCTATTTCGATCCATGCGTAGTGCGGAATTGGTTAAGTGTCTGTTTGTCGCTACATAATTGTTGCCGTATTGCTCAGCGCCCCCAATCCGCGCTGAATCTGATACATTGTCGAAGCCAGAATGTGCTAAAGGCAGCTGACATTTCCACCAATTCTGCTGAACTGGAGTATGTGGCCTTGAGTTATGTTTGGGGCCACAGTCTCGACGTATCCAAAGTTGTCTTAAACGGTTCCCGATTACCCCAACCCCTTCCAGCCGTTATGAAGGACACTATGGAGGTGGTGTTGAAACTTGGTTATCAGTACCTATGGGTCGATAAGTACTGTATCGACAAGCACGACAAAGGCACCTTGATGAACATGGATTCTGTCTATAATAATGCAGCGTTGACAATCGTCGCAGCTGCCGGCACTGATGAATCCTACGGGCTTCCCGGGGTGTCCAAAACGCGGCCAGCTCGACAACTGGCATTCAAGAGAGATGGCGAGCCCTATTCACTTATGTCAACTTTGCCCCTACCTCACTCTTCGATCACCAAATCTAGGTGGGCTACGAGAGGTTGGACCTTTCAAGAGGCAATCCTAAGTCGGCGTCGACTAGTCTTTACAGACGACCAACTATATTTTGAGTGCAACTCAACTAGCTACGCCGAAGGTTTTGACATTTCCTTCAACGGTAGCCTTTTCGACTCAGCAACAACTCATAACAACTTCATTGGACCCTCCCTCTTTTCGCTCAAACAGTTAACACCCATCAGCTTTAATAGTAAAGCGACAAGGTTAAGCAACTTTTTCACCTACGTTGACTGTGTGGAGCAGTACTCAAAAAGGACGTTGACCTTTGACAGCGATTCACTCATCGCCTTCAGCGGTATTATTCGAGTATTAGAGTCTATCACTACCTTTCCAGTGAGGCATGTTTGGGGCATTCCTTTCTTTCATCCCGACGATGATAACCTAGCAGACGACCAGCTATGGGCGACGTACCAGAATTTCCAATTGGCCCCTTTCTGGAAGAGCCCCGTCCTAAAGGATCACAGCGGACCAAAGATACCTCCACCGGATGCAGGGGTGGATTATCTGGCTTACTTGATGCTGGGGCTTTGCTGGCGACACTCGCCCTCAGCCAATCCTCCTCGTAGACGAAAGGACCTGCCGTCGTGGTCATGGACGGGCTGGGAAGGGTCTGTGATCTGGCCAAAGCTGACTGAGGATTCAAATATCAGAAATTCGACATGGGCAAAGACAGCTATATCTCTCGGGTCCGACAGCTCCGAGTCCGTCCCCGAACTATACCACAAAAGTACCGACACCCACCTGCTAACCCAGAGTAATAAATCTCTTTATATCCGAACGTCTTTCATCTCTTATAAAGCCTTCATTTTTAACGAGTCGTCCTGCAGCTTGGGATTATCTACTGGAGGCGAAGTAAAATTATATGCCAGCAAGAATGATTTAAATACGTCGAAGGTGTTCAAACGAATTCAGAGCAAGCGTTACGAAGTCATCAAGTTGGCTACTGTTGATGAAGACACATATATGATGCTCATCAAGCGATATCGCAACGCCTATTACCGCATTGGTACAATGGCTGTCAAGGATCTATGCTTAACCCATTCTGTATTCAGCTCTAAAATCAAGACATACAAGCTCAGATAATCCCGAAAAACGAGGATTGTACAAATACGTGCCAATGGCAAGAAGGAGAGCGAAAACACCAAGCATTACAAACCGGGTGTCCTATAATTTAAATAATTAACACAATTTTTAACAACATGGTTCATGGCTACAAATATGAATAAAAAATGTAGAAATTTGCTTCGTTTCTAATATAAAATACTTTTAATATACTCGAGGCCCCCCGGCAAGTGCAAAACAACCCTCGTTTCAGATACGTAGTCTACAACTACCTAGGTACACACTCCAGTCTATCACAGCTACGTACTCTTAAAGAGAAAAAAGAAAATAATTGAAAGTACATGCAAAGCAGCCAAATATATAAGGAAATGTGTGCGGCTCCAAGTATTCACTAGGATTGCCGATTGCCAGTCGGCTGTGACATCCAGTCGCAAGCTCCTTACGCTAGAAACGAGGGCATATATTATTTAATAAAAAGTCCATATCTAGAAGTGTCGTCTACATTCTAGTTCTCGTCATTTCATCAACGCCAGCACATAATTGCGGTCCTGCTTCACTAAATCCAGGATCGGAAGTTTCATATAATGTAAGCAGTAAAGAAAGGAACGTAGTGACTGCCAACGCATTAGTCGAATGAGGGATCTTGACTCTATAGTATCCAAGGTCGACCAATAAAGAGATTGATAGCTCTATATTAATTTACGGCCAACCAGTGCCTTGTTTTGGCGGACAAAGAAGAGATCCAGGCACATTAAACAATTAGTCAAAGCATGCATTAGAATATGCCACATTCACAAGCGATTTGTTCTAGACAACAGTGATATTGTTTGAAACAGTTGAAGATTCTGGTTTGCGAATTATGCATATATAAGAATAAATTTCTAAGCTAGACGTAGAAAATCTTGTCACCACCACAGCACTCACAGAGCTTGCTTCCATTCCTACGCTTCCATCACTGCCTTAGTACTTGTTCAACCCATAGTATCAACCTGACTTACACCTTGCCAGAAAAGCAACAAAATGGCTCCTACAATCCACGTCATCCGACATGCTCAGGCTGTCCACAACGCTACTCACAACCCTGAATTACATGATCCAGAGTTAACTGAGTTGGGCTACCAGCAATGTCAGGAGCTTGCCGCAGAGCTCGCGAGTCTGGGAGATGTAGAGTTGGTTTTCGCCTCCCCTATGCAGCGATCGATCCAAACCGGGCTCGCCGCTTTTGAGACCTACACACAGTCGAAGCGAATAGTGCTTGTTCCAGACGTGCAAGAGACAGACTTGATGCCTACCGGTACCGGCAGCTCAGTCCATGAGCTCCTCAGCAAGTATGGTGACGAACGCCTCGACTTTTGTTTTATGTCGGCGGACTGGACGGACAAGAGTCCCCAGTCCCGCTTTGCCCCTCACTATGCCGCGGTGCGTGCTCGCTCGACGAGATTATTCCTTCGTGCCGTTGCCCAGCGTTTTAGGGACACGGACGCCAACATCGTTGTTATCACCCACCTGATGTTCATCGATTATCTGGTTGGGGCCGGCGGCACCAACTTCAAGAATGCTGAGCGCCGCTCGTATCGTTTTGAACAACTCGTAGGCGACAACATTGAGGCCAGGCTTGTTGAGACGCCCTGCAGTATTGCTAGACGACAGAAGGCTGCTGCCGCGCCTAAGCCCGTGCTTCCGAATCCTTTCGGAGTGAAGATTCCGTCACTTGATACTCATTCTGAGGCATTTTCCATCGATAATCTGCCTGGAATGGTTCCTGTAACCTACGAGCCGACTGGGGTTCAACCAATGAGTTGGTATTCCTGAGTCATTTATTCCCCGATTTGGCAAAGGTTTTGCTCCTGTGTTGCATATGTTCATACATGCGTCCAAAATCTTATGCATTAGTCAATTCTTTACTTACACAGCAGTTTCTAACTCTCAACCTCTTACAACCATCCGCTCATCACTAATTTCGAGCATAGGCCCCTTTTCTCCAGTCTCTCCCGAGCCGACAGTTCCGGCACCCAGCTGGCCATTCGAAAGCTTATTGCACAATGCGACTACCGCCAGCTTATTCTTGCGCAACAATCTTCTGAATAAGGAAACCACTGATGTACATAAAAAAAAATATTGACATATCTTGTCTTAAAGTGCCCTTATTCAGCCCACAGGATGAGAAGCAGAAAGTCGGCGAAGACATTGGTGCGCAATTGTTTAGTTTGCCAGACAGAAGAAAGACCACCAGAACCAATGGTGTGCAATTGTTCAACTTGCCAAACGAGAAGACCACTGGAAATTCCCCTTCAATTTCCCGGCGTCGAAATAAGGGGCTGATTGTTCAGCCACATCTCCTAAGAAAGAATGAAGCAAGCGTTGACCTGCTGATCTGTTTTGTTTTGGTTTTTTGGTTTTTTGTTTGTTTTATTTTTGTTTGTTTTATTTTGTTTCGTACATTGTTCAGATCGCTATAATTAATAAAAGCAATATTTTATGCATTGAAAGTGTGTTGTAGAAGGTACCTAGTAGGGTTACGTGGGTGGTGGGCCTCCTCCACTGATCTACATGGCCCAATGACTTAGAATGTCATTAACAGTGACCCTGTCAACACTGGACCCGTAGCTCAGCGGTAGAGCATCTGATTCCAGTTTAAAACTTTCACTTATAAAGTAAATATTAACTGCCTCCAGAAGGTCATCCGTTCAAATCGGGTCGGGTTCAATTCCTAAATTCCTTTTTTCCCCTTACAAAAAAGTAAATGTATTATTATTCCTTTGCTTTCTTTCTACCACCCAATCAATCAATGCCTTATGTATTGACGGTGTGGTTTGCCCACGCATGGAGCCGTGGCGCAACGGCTAGCGCGTCGGATTTCAGTCCCGATTGTCCGTTCAAATCGGGCCAGCTTCGATTTTTGTTTCCCTGGCCTAGGCAAAGTGGTAGCTGTGCGGGGCGGGCTTGTGGCCGTTGGGGGCAACGATCAGTCTGGTGTGGTGACCTTTTCGGTGGCAGTTGCCACATGGCGGGACTTCAGGGCAATCAGAAATGGCGTGGTTTGATTTGTGGCAATAGACACATTGACAAGAGGGCAGGCAATCTCTCCGATTCTACCCTGAGCAGAAGGGTGCTGGGTATATAGACATGACATGACGCCTTGGTGATAGAATTATGATACTGAATAAATCCGAACTATTCATGAGATCATGGGAAAGAAAGGAGGGGAAGGAAGGTCCAAAGTTGCCTCGAATACTTAGGTGCCCAGCTCAACTAGATTGTGACTGATCAAAGGCCTTGTGGCATGCAAATGGAGTGTGAAGCTGAGGCTACTCACACTTATTTATCCCTTCTGAACACAGTCTTTGGATGACTCAGGGCTTACGGTACGGCAAGCTACCGAGTAACTCTCAACAGGATGCCGACCAAGGGAGGGAGGGGCGTTGAATACGAGAACCCAGACTTGAGTACCGATTTATTACCACAAAGCACATCTGCATTACGAAGTAATAAAGCAGAAAAGCCAACGTTAACGTTAAAGGGGGTTGTAGGGCAAGAAAGAACCTTACGTAGTAGGGTAAAGCAAATACGGTTAGGTTAGTGTGATCACAATAGGCTGATTATGTACTTTGCTGATTTTAACTCCTTGGAGGCCTAAGACGGTGATTTTTAGCAGGAAACCTCCGGCCTTCCTAGAACTTGTGTAGATCGCGGCATAGACTTAGGTTTTGTTTAAAATTGTGCTTCTTCTAGGTTTATTTTATGGTTGAAGTTGACCTTAACTAATAATCTTGTTTCGAAATGAAGGGCTCTAATTTAGATGCCAGAACCTCCAGTCCTGGAGGCTTCCATACCACCTCTTCAACATTTGTATGTAAAATGTTTCTCTATTTCTGCAACATAAATAAATACGTGGAAGTGTGATTCCCTTAAAAGAATTTTATCTAAATATCCTGTAGAGACGTAAAAAGTCACAGGAACTTATCAATGACTATGCGGGGGTATATGTTACAAGTCTACGTACAAAAAACTTAGTATGTGATGCGATGATGCCCCTTTCAAACATTTATATTTTCAGCATATGTTCCGGAGAACTATGTTAATGTAACCAATTTGCGGTAGCGAATCTAGCCTTTCCATGTTCTCCATGATCTACCTACTACGGATATATCGCCATTAGAATTCGATAAGCCAACAAAACTTAAATCTGACAGATAAGTAGCTGAGCAACAGAGCTCATCACTGCTCAAACGTCCCAGCTTGTGGGAAAGGGGAGTCATCGCGCAGGGACTGTAGCGACCAGTCTCAGTGTTCTGCGCTGATGGTACTAAAGGAAGCCACACCCCGGCCTCTTCGCCCTGTGTCATTCCGGGTGCCAGCCGTCGTTTGAACCCGGGACGGTTTACCTATGATCCGGCGCGCGTAGTTGTGGACCGATTGGTACTTGGTGTATTGGAGGCAGATCCCGCAACTTATCTCAAATATAATACTCCGTATCCTCTCCGAAAAACGCGACACAGTTAGTAGATTAGCAATAAATTTCCATACTACATTGTGGAAAGTATTGGTTTACTCATACGAGACGTAATTTGGGGCTGGTACTCTCTGATGTCTTGAGGTGTGTTGTGAGACTGTATGAAAAAAGAGCACTCTATAAGTATGCACAGACCAGCCTTTTCTGTGCTAGGTTCTATTAACCTTAATTGACTGACAATCTTGAAGAGATTTCTATAAATTCAGGATGACTAAGGACCCATGAACGGAAGGAACAAGAAAATCTAGATAATGCACGAGTCACGGGATTAGGTAAAGAACACCTCGAAGGGTCGATTTACCGAAGTGATATATATTCACAATATACTCGATATGCAGCGCTCACTCCTACCTCGTATGAGCGACTCTCCCAAAATAACCAGCAAGTCATCGAGACTTAAGTAGACCAAAAAAACGGGTATAATATCCAGCCCCTCCAACGTATGTCCAGCAACAATATCCAATCGATAATAATAACCCGCCAAGGTGTAACCCTCGATCCATCCGTCCCAAGCGCCGAGTAAATGACAAAACTGCTTCCATGCGTTTTAAGCGTATTCCCTGTCCGTATCCAGGACCCCAACGGCGTTGCCCGTGAACGCGCACCGACCAGGCCGCTCGTCCGTCGCTTCTTCGACGACGCCCCACGAGATGGGGCCGAGCCAGAACTCGCCCTCGTTGCGCACGGTGTGGCAGCGCGCGCTGATGAGCGCGCTGCAGGACCCTCCGCTGATCGCCAGCGGGTTCCCCTTCGCTTCGCCGAGGGTTATGGCGGGTGTGCGGCGGAGGCCGAGCGCGAGGATCGCGAATAGAACGATGGCGAGAAGCACGATGAGGATTAGTAGGGCCTGAGTGTTGAAGGCTACCTGCGGGGTAGTGGTGGGCGCTGAGACGATGAGGAACACGGCTTGGCTGAGCACGAAGCCGAGCGCCGCAAAGGTCGCGAGAAGGAACCATGACACGGGCCGTGGGAGCGAGAGGTATAAACTCGCTGTCTGGGTGCCGGCCGAGTTTGACGAGACGCGCAGGGACTGTGGGCCCAGCGCGAAGAGCGAGAGTTCGTGGGACTGGAAGTATGTCGTTAGGAGCGCGTTGGTGGAGAGGTAGAGGGTGGCGAGGAGGAGTTGCGGGAGAGCCGTAATGAGCGCGAGCTGGCTGATGTCGACGGGCGAAGGAAAGGAGAATGTTGTTTCGGGTGTCGTGGTTCCGAAGGGTGTGCTCACGCCTTCGCTAGATGCGTGAGCCATCAGGGCGATGGCTGCGGCTGTTGGACCGCCGACTGCGAGCCATGAGAGGATCGTGAGAATCCATCGAGTGAGTGAGGGCGCCTCGAGCCAGTAGTGGCTCCTCGGCACGCATTGCTTGGTCACTTCTGATCCCCATCGTCCTTGCTGGAGGTCGGCTTTGGTCATCAGAGACGCGTTGGTGGTCGTTTGGTCTGGTACGCGGAGGAATGAGCGGATGGCATCGCCAAGGGTGGCGATAGGGTTGAAGGAGGATTTTGTTAGGATGACGGCCATGGTGATGACTAGTATTATATTCAACAGTGCCACAATGGCGAGCATCGAGCCATTGACGCTTACAGCACACTCGTTCTGCGTGCTTTGGGTGAAGAAGATTACTGCATTATAACTGTATGTTGTTAGTTGGAAGTTTCGTAATCGGAAGTGAAACTTCAACATACATTACTTGGATCACAATGGCGATAAGCAGCGTCGCAGCTCCCATTATCGCCCGAAATGTCGACACGTGGAATAAGTTCCGTAGCGAGGATACGCCAATGTCGAGCCATTGCTTTCGATCGTGGGCTTCGGTTATCTCGCGCCTCGTTGGGCTCGTAAGGATTTGGAAGACGTAGTTCGCCCCGGCGAGGAGTACGATGGTAAACACGTTGATAACGACATGGACCCCTATATCTATCCGATTCGCTGTCGCGCAATCTCCCGTGTAGATCGCCAATTGTCCCGAGAAAACTTTCGTCTTGGTGACAACTAATATTAAGCCGATAATGCCGACAATCAAGATTAGAAGTGTTAATAGCGTGTTGTAAACAATGCCACCTCGCCATCCTGTAAAGTGCCTCCGTAAATCGCTTCGTTGGCTACTGTCGCCGCCGGAGGGCCCTGTCATTGAGCTCAAGTGATTCCCCAACTCGACGAGATGAGAGGAAAATGTGTTTCGACGAGGCGTGATAATGATATTACGTTCCCCCCACTGCCTCTCTTCCTTTTTCCTTGCCAAACTTTCGGGCGTCTCTCCTCTCATAAAGTTGATCACGTAATCGGGGACAAGGCTTTGATCAATGCTGGCTGCATCATCGAATGGACGCAGTATACTTCGAGAATACCAAGTTCCCGAGCGAAATCTTCCTAGTCGGCTAGATCGCGCTGTCGAAGGGACCTCCGAAGTGTTACGGTGGTGAAACGGCCACATCATCGTTGATTTAGTACTTCTCGAAGCCAGACCCGACCTAGAGTTCGTATACTCCGTAGCCTCTTGGATGCTATCGAGGGTTAGATCACACGAGACATTTGACATCCAGGCCTCTAAGTTACCTTGACATCCGTTCCACATTTCGTATGCCCCCGTCATCGTCGTATGTGTATCTGTACGGGTGCTTCCCATTATTTCTGGGCGGAATTACTATCTGCTCCATCCTTTCCAAGATGGTTTTATTTATTTAGCTGGGTATTAAAGACATGAAAATTCGTAGTAAAGCTATGCTTCTAAAGAGCGTAAGAAGAAAAAGATGGAGTGAAGAAATGGACGACAGGTTGCACCGCAAACGAATGGAAACGAAGGAAAGAAGACCGCCTTGGGGCTCCTCATCAGACACCGGGTCCTCACCGGGTCTTGTATGGCAACACAAGTGAGACGGTGCCCAATGTAGGTCCTTGTGTCCCCCATCCATTCTATAATCAAGGGTTCATTGATGTGACCAGGATGGGAGCACCCGGAGGCTCATTGTAGTGTAGAGCCGAGCCAGGATAGCCCTGCTAGGTGCATCATATAGGCTGGGGTTCGGCAGGGGCGCCCTAATATACTTCATGCAACAGCCTAATGGTGATCGTGAAACGCGCTTCTTCATTGGTTCAGGTAGTGCATCGTTCGATCAGTCAGAATGATTCTCCCATTGCATAACAGAGTAATTATCACGGCGTCTCGGGCGCATCATGACGTTGCAGCGACCAGTT